CTCTGATTACAAATTAAAAACTCGGTTTAAAAAAAAATAAAAGTCCAATCCCTTACATTGCAGAAGTAGGTAATGCATTTCCTGAAAGTATCTTGACCCTCAAAACTTACATGGACAGCATTCCTTTTACAGGTAGGAAGTCCCAGGTAGGGCTTTTTCATTGTCATTATTAATGATACTATTATTATTATTATTATTATCATCATCATCATCATCGTCATCAATCATTATTATTCTTCCCAGGAAATTAAAAAAAACCCAACAAACTAGAAGCACTGGATAGCAGTGGTTTTCTAGACAGGGAATGCAAGCCAACTTGGTGCAAAGTTCTATACGGTAGCAATGGCAGCAGCACTGAAGCTACAGCATGATCCCAGCAGGAGCTGATCACTCAGAGTTGGTAAGGTAGTGGACTAAGCATTTAAAAATTAATTTTTCCCCACTGTAGGCAAAGTACAGTTAGCAGCTTTTTCATCGTTTTTTTTCCATTATAGTAGCAGGCACTAATTGGTAAGACATGGGTCATATGCCCAGACCTAACTTGGTACAGCATAGCAATCCCTACATTTTCCAGATATCTTGAAACTAAGAGAGGCTACCAAAAATACAGAAAAACAAATCCTTCTCTAAGTACACAAAACGAGCTAGCACAACACTGTATGCATTATTGTTTGTGACACTCCCAAAATCCCAAGCCCCCCAAAGAACTGACTAGAGCCATAAGAATAATGTTTTTAATTAATATTAATACAGACAGAGCACATGGTACATTCCTTTCCAGCAGCAGCTAATTCTGCTCTACCGTTTGGGGAGGGAGAAGAAGTTAAGGCGAGTTGAGGGCAACCTGATAGAAGGGTTTGTTTCCCTAACCCATTCCCGGAGACAGCCTTTGTAAGTGTAAGAGACTACCTGTGCACAAAACATGGGATGTTTATTTAGCAAAGCATCAAGAACGGTGAAGAACATGCTTTGTTACAGTGGTAACAATACACAAAGCCTTCAAGCTGGTTTTTTTTACACCACCTCAGTTCTGAAACCATGAAATTCCAGTTTGCTGCATGTTCTGCCCTGGTATTGTATTGAACAGGCTACCATTAGGGATCGTGGTGACCAGGTTCATCTATCCAGTGGAGTACAAAGTGCACAAGAAAAATAAGTGCATTGAAGTGACCCATTTCTGATGATGAGTAATACCTGTGACACAGCACACTTGCTTAAAATGGAAAGCTCAGAGGCTGTTCAGTAAAACACAGTACTGCTTTGTCAAGAGCACAGAATCAGTATCAGAGATTAGACCTTTGCTGAACAGACGTATTTCTGCATTTTCCCCCCCAGTTATCTCCCACACCAATAGAGGAGCATTCTGATGTAGCTTACTGTGCGTTTGGGGTTGCTTTGTTTGCGTTTTTTTTAACTGATAACTTTATTCTTTACCCTCTACATTCAAAACAAGCAAGCATTTAGTGGCCCAGTGATTTGTTCGATTTTCTACTGATTTGAGTCACTATTTCTAAAAAGATTAGCAGAGATGGGGCTTAGAGTTGTACAGGGGTGTAGGTTTTTTCCTCTGTGATTACAGAAGTTTATGCATTATGAAACTTTACATCTTACAGGCTGTCAGAAGCCCTGTGTTTTGTGTGCTGTCCCACTCACAGGTTAAGGCCATTGTCAGCAACACTTAAGAGCCAGACCATGAAGCACTCAGCCGAGGGCTATTAATGTATGGGCATATTCACATTTTTTATAAAAAAGAACAACTGACTGGGAGGTTCCCAAATGCATTAAAGACAAAAAAGTTGGGTGCTCAGTCACTGGCATCTTTGGGCATGACATTTAACAGCAACAGACACGTTAAAATGCAGGCTGTTTTTCTACAAAACAGTTTATTCAATTCCCTACAATATATGCTGAAGGCTAAAAAGTTCCTTTCCCCTGTATGTAAACTATTTTACAATTTTCCTTTCACAGTGAAACCACTTTTCTGTTTGTATACTTCTGAGAAAGAAAATAAAAACTAAAAATTGGGGTTAGTTTCCATAACATTTCATTACATTGCCAGATTATGTCCAATCCACTGCAGAACATCGTAAAGCAACACTTTTTGGATTAAGAGAAAAAAAAGACTCAATTGTCAAAACCAGCTTCTTTTTTTAATGCTATCGAAGACATCTCTGCCCTCTTAACTGATAAAGAATAAGCTAACCTTGTGATCACAGGCTGTTTGCAAAACCATTTATTTGTTTGCAGTAACATACAGTACAAACCGCAGGCTGGGAAGTGCTGCCTGCATTGCTAAACACAGTACTTGTGCACAGTAACGCATTTAAGCTCCCTCAGGTTTTTCCCTGTACGTTCTCTACGCGTACCACAGTAAAAGTTCACATTTCTTTTCCATTTCCAGGCCAAGGGCAGATCAGAGACAAGAAACCAAGCAGTTCGTTCACACCCAGCTATTTATTTTTATTCACTTCTGCTAGCAGAACATGCAACCTGGAAAATGGGACTCTTGGATATTCACAGTTGTGAAAAGAGCCGGTTTGTTGCTAAGATTATTCCTCTAGAAAACTTTAATACGGTTTAGTAAATCCAAGTTCCAAGGCTGCTCTCTAAGTTCAGGCAGGAGGAGGCAAGCTAGCACTAACTTCGAGTAGTATGTGACATATGTGAAGGATGGGGGGGTGGAAAGGGAGAAGGTGGAACACAAATGTAAGTGAATGCATTGGGAAAACTAGAAAATAAATCTAGGGATAGGGAAGAGAAAAAAATCCACATTCCAATCGGTCTCATTGGTACATAGGTTTGTGCTTGTTCACTTTGTAAAGCCTTCACAGAAGGGGACACACTTTACAACTACTTTCAGGTTGAGCATCCCGATGGGGAATGAAGATATCAAACGCAGAAAGCGAGTTGAGAGTCTGTTCTATTATTATTGCCTTTTGTTTTTGACTTCTGTTTGGTTTTTTTTGCAAGGCCCCTCTTGCCTTTGCAATAGCACTTGAGGTACCTGGAAGCTGTACCATATCCTCAATATGCTACCAGACCTTCTGCTCAGATTATCTAAGAATTCTCAAGCCTCTTTTAGTAAATACAAGCTGCTCAGCCAAGACCTGAAACTAGTCTTGTTACCTATTTCCTTTTTAGCTTTACCTATTTGCTACGAGAAGGATCTTTGCTGGCACATCTGAGCATCTGCAGCTGCTGTTCCAGAGCCGAGGAAGAGCTAATGGCCAATAACCCCACTCACTGGCAGGTTAGGGAATCCTCACTGAAATCTGTCAGGAGAACGCATTCAGGAGCTTGCAGCAGCACTGAAACTGAAGAAACAGCGGTATGCCAAGGAGCACAGACTAGCTAAACATGGCAAGGGAGAAAGGAAGCCAAGAGATTATTAGAGGCAAAAGCGACAGTGACACTTATTAATAACTTCCTTGCTCTCAAGAGTGAAAAATGAGAGCGCACTTCATGCAGCAGCTGACAGAACAGATCCACTCGCTCAGCACCCCTTGCTTCAGGCAGACGAGTCTTTCAGGTGTAGCTGTCAGATCTCTGGTACTGTTCTGTGCACAGCGTGTTCCAGAGACACAGTTTAGGTTTTCCAAGAACAAAGTAACCACATTTTCTACAATATGGGATCAGTCTCCATTGTCGTTAACACAGTGGCTTTTTCAAAGTGGCTTTTCCTCTGTTATACATAGTTTTCCTCCTTCTATGGACTTGATCCCAAAAGGAAGTTTTCCATATAAAACATTCTAGAGTTGAAAATGTACAGCTCATATATGCAATTTGTACAACCAGATTTTACTGTATATATAAATAGTTGCGTGTTTGCTAGTCAGTGTAGACAGAAGTAGCTAAAAAGCAACTAAAACAACAGTATTTCATGACAAACAGGAACCAACAGACTTCAAAGTATAGTATTTTACATCAACACAGACTGTACAGCTTTTCAAGTTAGTTTTCATTAGGTACTTGATATACAGTAAAACTCTGATCTACTTTTATTTATAGTTTCCATTTTCCAGGCAGAGATCTTTAATATGCAATAGTAATCCTGAAACGAAGAGCCAGACGTGTAACACATTTCCAGGTAGCAGCTTAATGTAGAAAAGTCAGGTTTGTTCTACCAAGGACTAGAATCCACTTCAGTAACGTTCCCTGAGGCAATCCACTGTTTTATCTTTTGTCCTCGAATCATTTGTATATAGTTGCTGTTCTGTTCCAGTCTGCTTTGTTTCTTTAAAAATAGACACTTGGAAAAAGACATCTGTTAACTTCCATTGCTAATTTTGTATTTCAGCAATTATGCTTCCCCTTAATACCCTCTCCTCCTCCTCTTTCTCGCCTCCAAAAATCACAAGTGAACAGACAGCAAATCTGTGAGCTCGATTTTCACAAGATAGGAATTCAGATCTTTAAATGAACATTAATATTTGAAGATGTAAATGTATGAACTGAAAAGAATGTAACAGACAGATAACAGAACAGAATTAATACGCAATGAACAGCCTAAAATTTATCTTACTGAAACTGAAGGTCCTCTGTCTTCAAGAGATAGAATCGATGGATCAAGGGCGTGGAGAAGTGGTGGGTGTGGAGGGTAGGGAACACAGAAGAACCCTTGGTCCACAGGAATGCACTGAGCAAGAACACTGCCTATCGTTAAGTTCTCAATGGACTAAGGAGGTTTCTCCCGATATAATTCCACTTTTAACGTTTCAAAAAAGCCTGTGTATAATCAATGCACTTAAAGCTTTAGGTTTTAGTAACTTCACTTAGACTTTGTTTATAAAACAAACACACGCAAGCACACTTCCCAGAGTGCAAAATGCTTAAATACTTCAATTACAGAACTCCACGTGTAGGTTTCGGAACAGAGACAACTTCTTCCTTGTCATCGCATCCATTGCCAGCAACGGTTGCATTGAAACTAACCAAAAAATGCAGCAAATGCAACAGTCCATAACTCTGTACTGCTTCTTCAGTTTTCCAGAGGACGTTGTTTATTTGTATAAACTCATGGTTGGACTTTGATACATGCACATGTAAGCATCGCAAAGCAGTCTTCGTGCACAACCCTGAATTTTTCTGGAGTCCAGAGAGTGTAATTCGTCTAGAGACATCTTCAGGTACTCAGCAACTTCTGGACATGGGGTAACTTGTGGAATGTTAAAGCCATTCTGACCTCCTTTTAACCATGACAGAAAGAAAAACAGTTTAGAATAGCACCTACATAAATCTAGGCTTTATAAGGTACTTTATGAAAGCGTCACCCGTTCTTGAAAATGTCTTCTAAAAAACCTAAACTTGCCGTTCTGGACCACCGAGGGGTACACTCATGTGACAAGTGTATTGCTCAAGAAAACTCGCACACGGTGTCAGAATATCTTGGAGTGTTGCTAACCAACACACACCCAAAGAGCACACAAAACCCACCAGAACAAGAACTTGGGAGTTCTGTTAACAGGAAAGATTCTGAACAACTTTGGAAGGGTGGCCTGAATACTCCACCTCAAACGCTACTGGATTTGCTAATGGCATGACAACTGGTAATAGCTGATGAATTCATAAACTGCGTCTGTAACAGACTTGCAAGACTAAGGCAGTGTTTGCTCCTGACCCTTTTCTGTGAAAAATGAGCAAATTCAACCACCACAAGTATGGACTCCCATGACACTGCTCCCCACCAGACTTTTTTAGCTTATAGCACCAGCTGAAGAAAAATATTTGTGATACAAAAAAACCCTAAGATCAGTGGGAGACACATCCCGTGAGTATCTCATGTGATCTACGTTCCTGAAATAAAGTGGTTGGTTACAGATGTCAGTTGTACACATTTCAAGCACTTTGAAAATTAAACTGCTACAAGATTAGTCGTATAACAACCAGAAGGCAATCAAGCTTTGTTTCAACAGGAGGAAAGATGGTTCCTCCCCCACCCCCAAATCCCACTGTAACAGAGGGGTTCGAGAACCCTGCATGCACAGAACTGTCACTACGAGCCTGACATTTGCATCTATTACTGTTTTTCTCAGCCACCAGAATTGAAGAGTCCTTATTTAAACACTATTTAATGCAGCAGCATCTAAGAGAACACTTGGTTTACTGACATTTTTATTATTACAGGGTAATCAGTTTTCCACTGATAACTCTAAAGAGTTTCAAAGAAACAGCACAGATCTTGTAATGGCTATTTTTTATTTTAAAGACACCTACACTGAGTCATTTAAGGAAAAGCAACAAAAATACTTGCCTACTGTCTGATAATTGTGTATATCGACTTAAACATAGACTAAAAGAACACAATCCTGCAGTTGATTATTTAAAATGAATTCTCTCTGCCAAACTTGCAAAGTGTAGAAAAATGCATAAGGATTGCTAGAAAACTTCTGCAGTTACTTCAGTATCATCTGCTTAGTAGGGCATCCAATCCAGTTGAAATTCAGATGATGCAAATCAGTGGCTGCTGTAAAATCAATGCACTGAGATAAGGCTGGGTCAAGATTAGTGTCCCAGCATCAAGTACTTCAGTTAAATGATATTAATATCCCCAAAACATTAAGAAATAGGCACTGAAATTTAAACCAGTAATACATGCTAAAAATTAAGAGAAATTTAAGAAGAATAAAGCAAGCATTTACCATCCCGATCTGCCATGCTGTCAAAGAAAAGCCAGGCGGAGTCATCTCTCCCGTATTTGACAAAAGCTACGTAGTGGCTCGTTTCTATGCAGAGAACAGCAAACAACTCCATCTTCTGGTACGGGATGCAGCCATGTCGCCAGTCCCAGTCTGGCAGATCTTTAGGTAGTGACAACGGATTGAATTTATGACTCTGTCTCTTGGGATGAAGATGAACCTACACAATCAAAGTGATATTTCAGAAGAGGAAAAAACACCCCATAAGATTATTTGTTTCAGTGGCAGACAAAGCTAAAAAGAACATTACTGCTGAAGTGAAGATTAATGGCATTAGAGAAGGAACTGCAATAACAGTAGCAGACTAAATGTTTCTTCTATTTTTCCCCAACAGTGTAGGTCAATGTTACCCAGAAAATTCAAACCTAAGGTTAGAAGGGAGGTCAGATTTAATGCAACAATTTTCTACTATGCTCAGACTTGAAAACAAGCCATGACTATCACAGCTTCATGCAAGTTGCCAAACAGCTCTCAAAATCAAACGTCTTTATATCATGAATTTAACCATTCAAACAAGGTCGCATGTATGTAAAATTAGGGTTTAAAGCAGGTCACAGGAAACAGATTCCAAGATGCCTACAATTACATCTCCACTGTATTCAGTCCTGGATTTGGCTGTTGCCATGTTGCTAGCAAGAAACTGTTGCCAAATCCACTGCTGGGTCAAGTGGAGCTCCAGATCTGTCACCAAAGGCTGTGCCTTAACTGGTGGCACAGTTACACTAGCACTGGTGAGAAAGTCTACTAGGCTCTTACGCCTTCCTGTCGATTACTACAGCATATGCCATTAGGATTAAACCCCAAGAGAGAACAACTTACTTGCGTATTGCAGGTTTTGCAGAACTGCTTGATTTTCCCAGCAGAAATATCAGTATCTTCGTAACATTCTCTGCACTCATACATAGCAAGCCCTCCACATATACGACATTGCCTGGGAGCTGCATTTAAAAAAAACCCAAAACATTAGTCTCCAATCTGGGGAGGCTTTTTTCTTGTTTGTTTAAGACGAGGAGTATGGAAAGGTGGGAGGATTACTACTTTAAATGGAGAAAAATGCTACATCAAAAAAGCTGAAACTAAATTGCAAATCAAAGCAGAGACATACCACCGTAGTTACCTTCTTCCCTTTGACTTAATGTAGAATACAAGAGGGTTCAGGGTGGTAAGTTACAAAACAGATGATCGAGTTAGTTCTCTCTCATCATACTGGTACAGCTACTTAAACACTGTGTCTGTCAACACTAAAAAAATAATGAACAGCATAAGCTGATGGCCATGACAGTGAAAGAAAAGGCCGTGACAGTTTCAGAGATTATTCTTCTAATATATTTTAGCAGTTTTATGAATTCTTAACTCAAATCTAAAACCGAGTGTCTTTTCTTACGTAACGCAATGAAAAATTCAGTGGATGACAAATGTCAGAAATTTAGGTCACAAAAAAATGATAGATTTATAGCTGAAAAATGCACCATCACTACAAGCTGCAGGTTTACATGCTCATCTCAGGTTCTTTTCTTCTAGTCTGATAAACTACTGACAAAAAGCTTAGAAACAGGCAGCACAAAATGATGACACCTAATGAAACGTAGTCAGCATTGTGAATACCTGTTAACCAATCTTGGCGCTACACTTAGCTTTTAAGATTTCCTGCCTGCAATATTAATCAATTGTTTCGCTGCTAGTAACTCAATTTTAACAACACTGTCTTGAAATAAGAAGTTTACTTGTACAGATACTCAAGAATTAAAGATAACCAAGCAAGTTATATTCTATACATTCTTCTCAATCATAGCTTTTGACATAAGGGGGAAAAAAAAAGCATTCTAGCCAGTACATTTTCCTTTCTCCTCAGCCTGAGCATCTCACACTACCTCGTTAAATTTTTAATAAAAATAACAACAAAAAACCCATGAACTACTCGAAGTACTTACTTCCACTGTTAGTTACTCTCAACAACTCTCTTTTATTACACAACGCAATGCTGTATACTTACTATCTTCAAGTAAGTCTGTTATATTTAATTCCAAGGATGGAAAAATTTTGTTGAACATTTTGAAGTCTTTTCCAAACCGAGGCATCTGGATAATCAAGCAAGAGGGCGCCTAGGTAAAAAGTCAGAATATAATGTAATGAGTTTGAAATACATAATAATCTAAATTTAGAGGCATACTTCTAATGCTATAAACATATTCACGTTATTTAAACTTGCAGCCCACTGACTTCAAAATTAACAAGATGGTAAGCAAATCAAAATTAAGTCTTTGAGAAAAACTACGGCTAAAAACCTCCAGGACAGCGGCATCTAAGACACTGTCAAATGTCATAAGTCCCAGTCATGCTCAAGTACGGTATTAAAGTTACTGGACTACACTGGCAGATCCTGGGATGGGGGAAAAGAAGAAGTCATCCCTTTGTAAAGGTTTTTACAAATAGGTATCTCAAAATATTAGTCCCTAAGACAACTTACTGGCAGTAACTAAAGAATTTCTTTAAGAATTTCTTAACAGAAATTAGTTGGCCTGCTCAGCCAAAGGATACACATCATTAAGTCAACCTTGAAATATTTTTGTTATGTAGGCGACTGTACCACTGGCCTAGTGCTCCCAATTCCAACATGCCCGCACTTCGTGTTTGCACCATATCCTACTTCTGTCTCATTGCTGATTGGGCAAATATCTGGGTATTACCTCTAACTCTATCACTTCTGAAAGCAACAGCTGTCACCAACCTCTGCAAACTTCAAGTTGCTGTTGATGAATGACCACTCCAGTAACTGCTGAATTGTTGGGACTCCAACTTTCTCATTTTTGTCCATAAAGATTTGATAGAAGTAACAGTCTTGTACTTTCTGACCTGCTGATCTAAGAACAGATTTGAAAAAACTGATTCTGAAGCTCTATTGTAATGACAACTGTATTTTACAAGGAAAATAACATCTACCAGAAAATAGTCTACACATCTTCTCTGCATCAAAATGTATTGTGCTTTAAGAAAAAAAAAAGCCAGCAGCAACAACAGAATGCCTTAGATGTTAGGCAATAAAGTATTAAGTGTGGGCTGATTTTAGAAAAACTTGTTTAAGAAGAACAAAAGCAGTGTAAGTTTCTGAGTATGATTTAAAAACATATGGCTATGCATTACTACCAACTGAGAAATACTTCCTAAGCATATGCACTGAAAACTCCAACACACTACAGTAGCTTTCATTGAAAGAGAAGTAAGAGTTCCAGTAATAAAACATCAAAAGGAAAAACAATTCTCTTCAGTACGATACTAGGTGTAATGAAATACTGCCTTTCAATCAGAGAGATATTTGCAGTGCTTCCAAGCTACCAATTTAAGTACGTTTTGAGGTCAATTTTTTCAAAGAAAAGTCAGAATTAAGTGCTGATGTTGTCAGGTAATATTTCTGTTTCATAAGCATAAACCTGAGACATTTGGGAGGAGAGTTTCTGAGGATTAATTCAACCTACTCTGGAAGGACGCAGGAAAGGATATCTTAGACTCTGCTCACATTGAAGAAATGGATTTTGCTATCATGCAGAAAAAGGATGCAGGAGTAACTGGCCTCCACGAGCAAAAGAAAAAAAGTTAGGTAGAAGTTGTTTCATCCCACAGTCAAAGTTCCTAAGGACTTTCATCAAATTTGCTATAAACAACAACCTCCTGCCATCCCAGCCAGCATTTAAGATAACTTTGCTTTTAAGGGTACTCAGGTGTTGAGAGGATTCTAAGAGTATGAGCTCAAAGTTACTATTATTAATTTTAAGCCTTCTATCTACGAAGAAAGGAGACTTCAGAATTATTCTTAAGGGCTTAAGGTACAAAGATTCCAACTTTGGTGCTAAAAGCAAAATGGTGGGACATAAGTTCTGTTCTCCTCTGCACTGCACAGACATGACAAAAACCTCGAAGGCCAAGAGGTATCAAAGAAATGTGGAAAACTTTTACTGTACTCCTTCCAGCTGTAATTTCTGCCACAGCAGCACACCTGTTAGCTACCAAAAACTAGAAATACATTCTCACATAAAGATTATTATTATATCTATATTATATGTATAATATATATTATATGTTACCTATTATTATTACTATTATTATAGTATTGTAGCCAGCTGTTTCACCAGAAATACATTAGCCATGGGGTTTCTCAGCACGCTGTATTTCATAGAATTTTAGAGAGGCAGTAATAACAACTGTGAGGGTCTTAAGCTATTCTCTCAGCACTTTTCAATATAGACCAAACACACGCCTGAAGGTACTAACTGCTGGGTTTTGGGTTGGTTTTTTTTTTAAATTTAATAGTAATTACATAGACCTTGGTCGAGGCAGAGGCAGGAACACCGTTCCAAATTCGTTATATGCTTTGATCTCTCATTCTTCAGATTTCTTCAAAATCTCCCTACAGCACTACCTCAGTATACTCAAATGGCATCTAGAGAGTGAACTACAGCAGACTCCACACCACGCTCTAGCTATGGTGTCACAGCACAACAGAGAGCGAGCACTGACGCACCTCACCACCACTGAACTAAAGCAGCGTATAAACTAATACAATTCCCACTACGAGGAAAGGACTGAAGAACTACGGGAAATGCCTTGCAACACTGCTGCTGCCACAGGACGCACGAGGAACCTGAGAGTATCAGGTGCCCGCCAGCAGAATGACAGCAGTGGGCAACAGGCCCTACCTCTGTTACACTCAGTTATGACAGCTGAATCCTTGTAGCGCTACAGCCAAGAACAAAGGCATGCATAAGTGCCAGTATCTGCTATTTTGAGAAAGTAAGAGAAGCCAAACTTGATCAAGGCAAACCACTGAAATATTTATATTAGACTTCAAGAAGAAACGTACATCAGTTTCCATGGCTTAAACACCGATTCAGCAATCTCTGCAGCTCGTCCCAGAAGTAAGCAGCTATAAGCTGAGGGCCATGTTAAGAAGTGCTGTGGGGTCATCTAACAGCAGCCCTTCTCCCGCACACAGGAAGCCAGTAAGGCTCTCAAGTAGACAGCACTAGCACAGGGGATCTTTGTCCAGTTCTCATGAAACTACGTTCGTGAGCTTTTGCAACAAGAACCCAGTGGGGGAAAAACCACCTACCAAAATAGTGTCAAAATTTTCAATAAAACTTTTTTATATTGAATCTTATTAGAAATATGAATCACATGTCAATGTTGCTCTGAGAGCTATCTCCATTTGAAAGACAGCAGATACTCTCTCCTCATCAGCTCTACAAATAGATGAGTTCAACAAAGAAGAAAGATTCACCTTATTTTCAACAGTGGCTCAACTCTTAGAATATGGTGAAATAAAATATTCAAAAATTCTTCTGGATCTGGGAGAGAAGGAAAAAAAAAAGTCTTGTTAGTATGCAAAACCAGATTCATTTAAAATCAGCCTTGAATAATGTAAATTTTCAGAATTTTAATAGGAAAAACATAAAGGTTCATTTTTACAGCTTTAGTAACACAGTAAGATTATGACAAACTATGAATATTTTCATGACACAAACCTCACTTTACTCTTTTGGTGTCAAATGGCTCTAATAAAAAGACACAGGCTTAATAGGGTAACAAAGCTTTCTAGTAGAGATCAAAAAGATGCTCTGTATTTCAAGGGAATCCTTTGGTGCCACAGAACTTTTCCAGGAGAAATAAAAGCTTCCAAAACAAAACACTGAAACTGCAGTGAGGCAGTGAGAAGTAGTGACAGTTACACTACATAAAGACCACACAACAGTACAAAGTTCATCTGAAATAGAGACCAAGTTCATTAATCAAGAATGCAGCCAGCACTGCCTTCCCAGAGGTCTGCTCTCCCCCAGCATGCAGAGTTTTCTGGTGTACTTCTCGTCCTGCACTGCAATGAATACTGGTTTTCAGCATGTAGCATGTACAAAGCAAGCAGTGCTCTCCCAAACAAAACCAAACCAGCTACATAATACAACGCTAATTAATCATTACATGCAGTAGATCAAAAGGTTGGGAACCGATTTTTCCAACATGTTTTAAACATTTTATTTCTTAAAACGCTACATAACCATTGTGGAGAGAGAATTCCTCAGGGACCAGAGCAACATTTTGAAAGAGGACAAAGACCCCAGCCTTATCACAGTCTTCATTTCTGAGGAAGAGCCCTACGTCTCCCCGACTGCCAGAAGGGAGTTACATGGGCACAGGAAGGCAGCAAAAGAAATGCAGTCAGTGAAAGACAGGGCAGAAGCCGTACAGCTTGGGTTCCTTACAGACCCAAGGAAGCAGAGATCTTTTCACCACCCAGTGGTCACTCAAATCTCTGGTAGAGATATTACTGTTAAAGATAAATATCTGTGTCTTTTGCTCTGGTATAATTATTGACATTTAGCAAGATATTTAAGTTCCTTCATATTACAAATTTTACAAATCTCAAAGAAGAGTTACCTTTCTCCTCTGACGTGAATCCTGATGCAGCCTCAACTTTTTCAAGTATTTTCCTCAGTTTCATTATTTTTGTAGCACATACATATCCATATCTAAGATAAATGGGTTTGATAAGCTATTAGCTAGTTTGTGATCCCAAGTCAGAGAAGCAGAAAAAAACCTTTTTAAATGTTGAAATACAGGCTTCTCAGATCCTTCTTTACTTGTGTACAGTATTTCTTCAAAACTATGTACTGACTCCTTATATTCTATCTGACTTCCAGTTTTTTCATGGCACTATATATTTAGTGCAGTGCTCAGTGTCCTTGCATAACCTTTAAGAGCTCTTTTTAAACATTAACTTACCAGGACAACTGTTTTCTGACTTGTCAGTCAATTACCTTTGATTTCTATTCACTCTGATTTGCACTGCTTAATACATTACTTTCAGAATGACACACAACAACAGCACTGTGGGAGTTGTTAATAAAAAATATTTCAATATTTGAGAAACAGATACAAGACTATTGCTGAGCTAAGAAGCTGAAGTTTTGGGCATTCTAGCTTCTCCTCTAAAACTTTACCAAAAATGCAAAGAAAGTTTTAAGCATGGTGGAAAGGCAGGAAAAGTGAAGACTTCCAGTCTTCTCAGCCACTTGAGATTTCTGCTGCTACCTGGCACATATCCTACTGCCTGCACCACAGAACCTGGAACACACCAGGCCCAGTACACACCCCCTTACAAGAAGTCATCGTTTCATCCCAGGAATTAAAAGAAAAACTTTGTGATAAATTGTTCAGTGACAGCTCACAGAGCTTCAGAACTACAACTGTATTATTTGCACGTTTAAAAAAAAACTAGGCTAATAACTAATATAATAAAGAATAATATATAATAATTTAGCAAATAACTAATTTTTATCATATTCCCATTGTTCATCGTACCTAAGAAATTACAAAGCTCATACTGGTTTTTTTTAATAAAAGCATTTTGACCACTTGCAGACCACATGTAAAAATTAATGAAACTTTTACAGCCCTTAAAACTCAAATCTATCAAATTGTGAAACTTCACATGAGGTAGTCCAAATACTTTTCTTGTCGTGAACAGAGGCATTAAAAACATGTAAATACGAATGCTGTGAATGAACATAACTTGTGTTTATCAGTGCTTTTTTAGTCATACCTATACAGATTTCACAACAGCTTTTCCAATAGCGATTATGGCTGCAATGGGCAAAAGGAGGAAGAACTCATAGGTCAGTGTGACTGGGGAAAGGATTTGGTTCTCAGCTTATACAGAGATGAGTAATTGCTTGCAGACGTGATTTGCAAATGGAAAAGTGTTGATTCCCATGGCTCTTTCACAATATACTTGGGTTCTAACAGAAGGAATCTATCATAGTCTATAAAGAATAAAGCATTTAAATAAGTTATGATTAAGACAGTGCTTGATAAATGAGATTACAACTAGATATAACAGCGCAAAAGCTCTGTATCTTCTCTCATCTCTACATGGTCTCTAATACACAGTTGGTATTCACAGAGCAGCAGTGAACCAAGCTTTTGTGACAGGAATGCATACATGACAGGATCCAGTGTAAAACTTGCATGTGACCAGAGACCAATTCATGTCTTCACTTACATTCTCAGAGGATTCACAATCTCTGTTCGCAACAGCTCTTGAGTCTCACTATAATACTCTACATCATTCTTTTCTTTAGGTCTGAGTAACACAGTGTCCAAAACAGAGCTAAAAGAAAACAGGCTACAAAGAAAAAAGGGAAAGGAAGGTTGTTTTGATTCTCTGATACAACCATTCAGATGTCTGAGCAACAGAAGACAAACCAAGCAAAGCCACAGGAAGAATTAACTAAACAAACTCAGAAAAGATATAATTATGGACAGAGGACAACACAGCTGTACTAAATATTACAAGTCCACTTTAACCCAGTATCCTCTCTGCAGCAGAGTGCCAAACCAGCTGTCAAGGCAGGATTCTGCAAATAAGTTGTAAGAGGTATCTCCCTCCCTCCCTCCACCCGCCGGCCTGTGTGCTCTTTCATCTTCCAACCATTTACAGTCCAGGGACTCCATCAGTCAAAAGGAGTACGGATACACAAGGGGCTGAACCACCTGGACACGAGCAGCACTGGATGTCACACAGCAAATGCTGCGGCACTCGTTCACATTGGAAGAGCACAGTAACGTGTCAAAGACTGCAGTGCACGACTCCGTGAGCTGCACAGTAATACAGCCAGCCAGCCACTACAACACAGATCACGTGCTCTGCATTTCTAGCATGGGATGCCCACTACACAAATCATGAACTTACCAGAATAAGGTGGAGTCTAAGTAACAGGAGTTGTAATGACCCTGGATACCTTTCTTCTTTCCAATCATTGTCTCTAAACCTTCTTTTTCCATTTTTGGAGGAGTGTTTTCTTCTACCACTTCACTTAAGTAACCTCCAAAGGCTGAAATTTTTTTTTCAAAAGACACTTTAAAGCCTCAAATTTTATCCCCCTTCAGATTTTCCTACTAATGCCTTATAGGTAAGTTGCTGTCTTAGTGCAAGCATTCCTCCTCTGGACTAGAATAGCATTTTATTATAGCTGAGACTCGCTGTCGTCCAGAGAGTGAACAGGGCCTTACATTCCCCTGACACTGCACATTAGAGCGCTTCAGAAAGCCTGTAGCGCTGAATTAATTTTATCAAGC